TGGTACTGAAATCTTGATATCCTAACAATCAATCAATCAATCAATACAGTTTACACTAATCAATACATATGGAATATTACAGGAAAATGTAGCCACGGAGGTTTATTTGACATTTCAAGTAAGTTTACACCCAAAGGTGGAATCAATAAAGATACACGATCATCTGAGCATGGTTACCTTCATGACAATGCTGCGACAGTGGCCATCGCTGCGACCAGAGAACTCTTAGAAGACATTAGAGGTTATTTGGGAGACTCTTAACTTTTTGAGGTAGGTTTTAATGGTTTTTTTCCATACTGTGTTTGAATGAATCATTACATCTGCTTTTTAATCAGATGGCATGATCAGTTAATTAAATGTGCCCCGAATGATAGACCCAAGTAAATTCCACAAGAAGAATCATCAGAGAAATTCTGGCTTACATAGTGACTTAATCATACAGCACTCATGGTGCTGTCAGACAAATGCCTTTATTTCAGTTGGCATTAACATGCCAGACTGCATCATCACCAAATCAGAACACAGCACATTTACATTTGTCCACATATATAAATTATGCATCCAGATAATCTGATCTCTTTTCCCCAGGGAATATTTAAATCAGGCATACACAATTAATAATAAATATAATTATGACTGTAAAAATATTGATTACCTATAGGTCCAGTCATCCAAGTCATCAACAATTGAATTTACAATGTATTTTTTTCTCAGTACTGAGTATTGTTATCAATCACAGACATGTTTGTTTTCACAAACACAATACCAATCATATTCAGTGTGCGACACTGAGTTCTGTACTCTTGCTAATGTTCTTAATAACAATAAATTGTGGACATAGTGTAAATATGAAATTCATTGTGTAGTCTTGACAGTTTCACTGACTGTTAATGGGACTTTTTGGGAGATTGAAATCATTAAGTCAGCACTGAACTAAAGTGATTGACTGCATCAGTTGTAGAGGTCACAATACAGGAAAAGCAGAGCTGAATACATTCCGATGACTGTATGTTTACACTTGTCTTTTCATATGTGGATAACATCTGGAAAGAGGTTGCATTTCAATGCCAAGTGTAAATGTAGCAAACAAAAAGTCATACATGCACCAGCAATTAAAATGAATATAGAATTAGTTGAAAAATAAATTCCTTTGGACTGTAGGTCTTTAAATGAAATTATTGTAGGGCTTTATGCAACCTTTTCAAGCAATCGTGAATCCTTTTCAAGCAATCGTTTCGGTCTTTCTCCTTTAGATTGATGGGATTCTCTCAGAATTCAGTACTGTGCTTTGCAATTGATACCACAGGCAGCATGGGAGATGACATTGATGAAGTACGACGAGTCACTTCTGAAATCACCGACAAGATGAGAGACGCTGTATCAGAGTACATTCTGGTGCCATTTAATGATCCTGGTAAGAGACGTGCTGGAAGCAACAGTATATTTTATATAGGCCCACAGTGTAACCTGTTGGAGTTTTGAAAAAAATAAATAAAAAATAAAAAATTATACTGTAGGTAGAGGCACATTTGTTCCAGTGTTGGGCTTTCATGTTTGGAATTACATGAGGGTAAACAAATGAAGAAAGGCTTATCAATAATTTTTCATTATTATAATTAATTATTTGTCACTGTCTGGATAACAAGCGAATACTTAAGATTTTAGGATTTAATCATTATTGTGATTAATATGTTTCTGGCATATTGTATGTTTGGCGACAATTCTTTTAATCCTAACTGATGCAGTGTGTATTTTTATTTCTCAAACAGCCATGTTGGAAGGTTCATTGGGCCCAAATTGTGAAATAGTGGTTCAGTGAGCACGAGGAACCATTTTCATACATGAATTTGTCACCACACAGTCATGACCTTAACCCTATTGAAATTCTTTAGGATGTGCTAGAGTCGACTTTACAGAGTGGTTTGACTTTCAAATTGCCAATACAAGTCCTCAGCCAAAAAATCATGCAACTCTTGAAGGAAATAAATGTTGTGATGTTTCAAAATGTTTTGAAACAATGGCTTAACGATTGATTGGTTGATTGAGAAAAAGCAACACACTGCATCAGTTAGGGTTAAAAAAATAATTGCTGCCAAACATACAACATGCCAGAAACATATTAATAACCGCAAAAGTGAGTAGCAGTTACAAATATTACAGTTTTTACTGCATTTTGATCAAATAAATGCTGCAAACCTGTATGAGTTGCTTTCTTATGTTGAACATAAAATAAGATATTTTGAAGATTGCTGGTAATCAAACAGTTGGTGGTTGCCATTGACTTCCATATTAGGAAAAAAAATACTATGTAAGTCAATGGCAACCACCAACTGTTTGATTACCAGCAATCTTCAAAATATCTTCTTTTGTGTTCAACATAAGAAAGCAACTCATACAGGTTTGGAACGACATGAGGGTGAGTAAATGATGACAGCATTTTCATTTTTGGGTGAACTATCCCTTTAAGTATTTGCTTATAAATCCAGATGGCATCTTTTTTGACCAGGCAGTATATCTCTTTAAGAGCTATTTACTTATTGAATTACCAGGTCAAAGTGACATTGACTTCCTGTTCAACTTTGTGGAGCTAAGCGAAGGTGCTCATTCGGGCTACAGTGAATTAAGCAGCAGACCCCCAGCAAGTGAGTGAACAAAGCAAATATGAACAATAAGAAACTTGTGCAACAACTTATATTTTCACTCTCTCTATTGCTCTTTCTCTGCTACAGACGGAAACGCCACACTACTGCTTACCGTCATGGGTGGAGACACTGTTACCCCCACAGAGGTGGCTCTCGTGGAAGCATCAGGATCCCAGACTATTATTGGAACCCTAGAAAAGGTTGCAGATGGGGATTTCTTAGTCACAATGAACAGGGTCCCAGCAGGAGAATTTGTTGTCCGTGTGATGGGAGAGAGGAATTCTTTACGTTCATCAAATGGTCGCTTTCAGAGACAGTCCATCACACAACACAGGACTTCCAGTGTGATTATTACTGTAAGATCAGGCTTTCTAACATTAGTCATAAAAATATATGACTAATACTCCATAGGCATACTATTCTTTCTCAAACTTATAACTATTTATCATACTATTTATACACTTAGGCTTTGACAGATGATGTATGGGAGCCTGGGAAGACATTGAGCATCCCTTTTACAGTGGTGTACAATGGATCTGATGAGCTCTTCAACATTAATGCTAGGAATGACCGTGGGTTTGCCACAGTATTTCCCAGCACCATGACTGCTGGAAGTGGAAGCAGTGGAAATAGCACAATAAATCTCACTGCACCCTCAGACACTCCTTCAGGCACTGAAGTGACTCTCACCATTGAGGCCGAAACATCAGGCAAAAGTGATTTCAACTATGCTGTGCTTAAGCTTACAGTCGTTTCTCCGGTAACTATCTATCTAAACTATCTATTTCTGGAAATGTAAATGTAATATTTATCCATGAAAGTTTGGGGTCAATACGATTTTTAAGAAAGAAACTGATATTTTTATTAAGCAAGGACACATTAAAATCAATCAAAGATGAAATCACAAAGACCTTTATAATCTTACAAAGATTTCTATTTCCGTTCATCAAAGAATCCTGAAAACAAATGTATCAAGATTTCCACAAAAATGTTAAGCAGCACAGCTGTTTCAACACTGTTAACAATAAGAAATGTATGAGTAGCAACTCAGACTATTAGAATGGTCATGTGACACTGAAGACCGAGTAATGATGCTGAAAACTTTCACAATATTACAGTTTTTACTGTATTTTGATCAAATAAATGCTGCCTTGGTGAGCATATAAGACATTTTTTAAAAAATCGTACCAACCCCAAACTTTTGAACAGTAGTGCGTAAACATATTTTTAACATGGAAATCTATATATCAACATACTTGGTTAGTTTTTATTACAGTTATGTTAATTAAATAATAAATACATAAAATATGAAATAATTTCCCCTCCATTAGATTACGGACTTCACCTCTCCAGTCTGTGAGATTATTAGCGTAAATGCTAACTGCTCAGGCAACTGTAGCCTGTCCTCATGGGAGCTCTCAGCCAACCTAACCGACGGAAATGGGACGGGTATCATCTCTGTGACTCTGCGTCAGGGCCTTGGAACCCTCAACACTACCACCATAATCAGGGATGGAGGTGTGAACGTCACCCTTGCATTCTACAGCGCCTCTTGTTGTTCTGAAATAATGGAACTGGTTGCTGTAGACAGAGCTGGAAATGTTGGCATATGCTCAAGATCAGTAACACCTGCTGTTACCACCTCCATGTCTACCACTTCTACAACAAAAAGCATGACTACAGCGACAACAACAACTATAGCTACGACAACAGTAATGGCAAAAACAACTAATGCCACAACTAACAGTGCTGGATGCCCTTTTTATCCACCTATCAGTTTTTGGGTTAGTGTGGGAGCCATTTTGCTTTTCCATCTAACTGTTTTATTCTAGTTGACTTTATACTAACATTCTATCACCCCTGCCAAACAGGCAGAGTCTGTGATTTGACTTTTGCAGTTGATTGATGCATTGATTAATAAAAGTTTATAAATACTTGATGATTTAATACATATGAATCAAATTAACAGATTGAATAGATTTTTTCAACAGACAAATGGTGATGGTATTATAAATTACTCTGACGATTTTAAATCATAAAAATCAAAAGTCTGTACCCAGCATACTATACTATACACATCAAAATGACTGGTTTTATGAAAAGAGGCAGTTGCTTGCGATTTATAAATTAATCTGTTTTTCTGTTTATACATTTTAACATGTATGACAATTATATTAAATCTACCATATTCAATATTGCTTAATGGGTTGTGTACTATTGTTTTGCTGAATATAAAAAAACACATGGGTATAACTTTATTAAAGCTAAAGAATACAGCTACTAATGTAGATAATCATGAAATTTCTCATGCTGCCATTTGGGTTGAACATCATTTTAAACTCAAACAAGAATGTAATCTATAACCAGCCAATTCAGAGACCATTATTTACCATAAATGGACAACTTTAAATTAGAAATTAAGCAGCAGTTTTAATGCAAACAAAGCAACCTACACTAGATTGTTTTGTTTTTTTAGAACCACGTGTCATTTTCTATGCAATTATAAGAAATCCTTTGCTTGAAGGTGCATGACTTTATTAACATTAAAGTCACTGATGTTACATAACAGCATTTAGCAGTCTTTTAAGTTCAAATGTATACAATAATCTTTCACATTCCTTCTGATTAATGTAGAGATAATTTCTGAGATAATCAAAATTGTTTGTTAAAGACTATTGTCATTTACTGTACACTGTAACATAGTTAAGAAAAATTTGTCAACATGAAATGCTGATCGCAGCTCAGTTTACTTCAGAAATCTGATGTATTTCTCAGTGAAACGGGATATCTGATGAGAAAAGAAATGATTTTATCCATCGAGAATTGTTTGGATCATTAAAAGTGTCCATTTCCGAACGGAACGTTGTGGTTTGTAAGAAGCACTAGATGATTGACGACCAAAAAAAACAAAAACAAAAAAAAAACGATTATTGCACTTGATAAAATATTCTTATTTATTATTTGGAATAATGTGCATTTTCCACTCCAATGTAAATTAAGCTGATTAAATTAAAGGGGTTATATGATGCTTTTTTAAAGATCATTATTTTGATCTTTACCATAATCGCGAGCTTCATCTTTCAAAATAAATGTAAAGACAGTAAATAATGTCATTAGTTTTACCATCAGTTCAAGCCCGAAAGGGGAACAGAGTCGCATGACAGACACAGTGATGAAGCTGGTATGTGTTTGCAGTACACAAGCCACGGTTAAGACAGCTGACTCCACCTTCTTTCTTTCGCGCACATTTGCACACAGCATTATGCAAATATTTCCACATAGTGAGGTAGATATGTGGGGGCGTGTTAGAACGAGCAGTTTTAGGGGGGCGTGGCAGAGTCTTAACTTTGATAAAGAATATCTCTTTGGTTTTGAAACTTTAGTCTTTGCAACTTCAGGGATCTTATCTATGCACCAAGAGCTTGTAACACTCCAAAGAGAAAGGAAAACTTGAAATCACATCATATGACCCCTTTAATGATGGGTACCAATGGGAGTATTCTCTACCGTGTGAAGTCTAGAATTGTCCAGTAGACACACAGATTCTCTGTTGGTGTTTCACCAAAATATACTTGTGCGCAAACATCCGCCCACATCGATCACAACCAAAAGGCTTCTCACGTGTGTGGATCCTCATATGTGTTTTGAGGTTTGAAGACTGGTTGAACATTTTCCCACAAAGGTTGCAACCATAAGGCTTTTCACCTGTGTGAACAGTCACATGTTTTTTGAGGTTACTTTGATCTGCGAACTGCTTGCCACAGTGCACGCATCTGAAAGGTTTTTCTCCTCTGTGGATGCTATGGTGTCTTTTGAGACTAGACGCCTGACTAAATCGCTTACCGCAGAGTGTACAGTGGTGAAGCCTCTCCCTGTTATGAAGTTTTTGATGCAAGAGGAAAGTGCTGGGTTGAGAGAACGCTTTTCCACAATGTTTACATATGAACTTGTCTTTCCTTTGCATCTGAGGAGAGTCTGACTGTTTGAAAGAAAAGCTCGGTGTGAAACGGGACCGCTCGGATTGAGAAATGTTGTTACCTTCATCGCTGTGTGTTAAATGGCCTTCCATATCAGGCATAGACAAGCCATTAGAGTCCATTGGAGTTGCATAGGAACACATGGGATCTGCGCTTCTTCTGTACATCAAGTACTGATTCACAGAAGGTCCTCTGTTGCATTCAGATTCAGCATAGGAGGGATGATTTGTTGTTGCGTCCAATCTCCTGGAAACCCATGAGGGGAAGGAAGGGACAGGCTGCAGGTTAGTCTCTGCGTCTCCATCACAACATCTCTCCACAGTCGTTTCACCTATTTTGAAATACAACATGCTTAAATGGAAACTAGTAAGCAAGAAAAAAAGAGCAAACACTGCATTTAGTAATTATGTCACTCACAACAAGAATTTTCTAGTTACTATTTAGTAAATGTGTTTCTTCACCTATATCATTAATTTCTGGGGTTTCATCCTCAAGTAGATCAGGTCGCATTCCATTGGACTGCCAGAGGAACAAATCATGTTAAGAGCAATTTTAGCAGAAACAAAATTGTCTGTATTCAAGGTGTACTATATTCTGTACCATCAAATATGAATACTGAAACTTGTTGTTAATACTTTACAATAAGGTCTCATTAGTTAATGCATGAAGTAAAATTAACTAACAATGAGTAATATATTTGTTGCAGTATTTATTAATCTTTATTGATGGTAGTTAATAAAAAACTGTTCATGTTAGCTGTCCACTAAATAATATTGGTATACACTGAAAAAAGAAAAAAGACTATATTTCAAACTATTTTTTCACTAGTCAATTTCATAAATAATTACAAAAAAAGACAAGTATTGAAATAAACATACGCCAATAATCTTTATTTACAATTACACATTTTTTTATTTATTTTTTTTACTTTTGACTTTAATAATGTATTAGTAAATTAAACTGATAAATGCTTTAGGAGTATTTTTCACTCTCGGTTCATGTTAAATCTGAATATACTAGCACAACATAAGCTTACTAGGAATAGGTAACAATATTAATCATATGTGAACAAAAAAGGGCAGCAGTATGTAAATGGTCACTGCTGGAGAAAAGCAGTTTGTCTGTCATGAGCCTGATTTGTAAATAATTACAGGTATGTTCAAATGTCTCTCTCACGCTAACCTCTTGATGGCAGTGCTGGACCGTGTCCTGGTCTATGAAGTTATCTCTGTGGACTGTTACAAAAGCTCCTGCACCATACTGTGTGTTTTCTTATCCAGAAAGCAAAGAGCAGAAATAACACAGGGTAAGCAAGTAGGGCTGGGTTTTGACACACATTTCACGATTCGATTCGATTCTCATTCACAAGCTTGCGATTCGATTAGATTCAATATCGATTATTTTGGATATACAGTATATCAGGTACAGTAAATGCTAAATTTTCAAGCAAAAAAAACCTCAACTAATGCTGTAAAACATACATGAGTCAGTTGGTACAACATTACTAAAATATTGAAGGTTAAAATAAAAAAAAATACAATAATAGATAAAATAAATAAATTAACACTATTATTAATGCTATAATTTTGTTGTATATTTGACAATTTATGAATCTATTCCTCCATGTATTACCAGATGTATTAGTAAATTAAACTGATAAATGCTTTAGGAGTATTTTTCACTCTCGGTTCATGTTAAATCTGAATATACTAGCACAACATAAGCTTACTAGGAATAGGTAACAATATTAATCATATGTGAACAAAAAAGGGCAGCAGTATGTAAATGGTCACTGCTGGAGAAAAGCAGTTTGTCTGTCATGAGCCTGATTTGTAAATAATTACAGGTATGTTCAAATGTCTCTCTCACGCTAACCTCTTGATGGCAGTGCTGGACCGTGTCCTGGTCTATGAAGTTATCTCTGTGGACTGTTACAAAAGCTCCTGCACCATACTGTGTGTTTTCTTATCCAGAAAGCAAAGAGCAGAAATAACACAGGGTAAGCAAGTAGGGCTGGGTTTTGACACACATTTCACGATTCGATTCGATTCTCATTCACAAGCTTGCGATTCGATTAGATTCAATATCGATTATTTTGGATATACAGTATATCAGGTACAGTAAATGCTAAATTTTCAAGCAAAAAAAAACTCAACTAATGCTGTAAAACATACATGAGTCAGTTGGTACAACATTACTAAAATATTGAAGGTTAAAATAAAAAAAATACAATAATAGATAAAATAAATAAATTAACACTATTATTAATGCTATAATTTTGTTGTATATTTGACAATTTATGAATCTATTCCTCCATGTATTACCAGATATGTAATTAGTAATCAAATAATTAGTAATACATGTAATATTACTAATTACTTACCTGGATTAATTCGTAAAACCTTACACAAATTTTGTCATCCATGTTGGGACAACTAAATAAGTGAAAAATAAACTGTACACACACACATTACATACAGTACACTATACTCACGATTTTCAGTAGTCTCTGTTTCTCTTTCTGACTGTTCACACCTCATGTTGCCAGCTCTCTCCTCTTTAATAATGAGAACATCTGGCTCGTCATCTTCTACAGACTGATAAAAAGCACAATGCTGTCATGATTCCTGATACATTATTAGTGGTCAACAGAGCTCTTTGATTGTGAAATACAGTTTCTTACCTCTTGATGGCAGTGCTGGACTGTGTTCTGGTCTATGAAGTTATCTCTGCGGACTGTTACAAAGACTCCTGCACTCCTGTACTGGCTGTCATCTTTATCTACAACATGGAGATATCAGTATATAACGCAAAAAGAAAACACTATGTAATACCCATATATTATAAAATACTAAAATACAGTTTTCTTGGCATACTTCACATATATCTGTGAATTTTACATTCGTTGGTTGGATGAAATCGCCTTAAAAGCTATATTTTGTCATCCTGTTGACATCAACTAATCACAGATCTGACCACTATATGCACTTATTCCCTGCAATAACTTACAACGAAAATAAAATAATACACACTACTCACGATTTTCAGTAGTCTCCGTTTCTCTTTCGGACCGTTCACACCTCTCGTTGCCAGCTCTCTCCTCTTTAATAAGGAGAATGTCTGGCTCGTCATTCTCTACAGACTGATCAAAAGTACAATGTTGTCATGTTTCCTGAGAGCAAATGTTTAGGGGGGAAAAATCTGTTCTGAAAAGTAGCAATTAGTGGTCAACTGACATGGGTTGTTCAATGACCTATGACAGCATTATCCAGATTTGTACAGATTGCATACACACCACCCTTCAAAAATCTTGGTCGGTAAGATTTTTTTTTTTTTTAATTAAAATAAAACTTTCATTGAGAAAGTTTGAATTATATTGAAACAATTATTAGTGCTAAACAAATTCAATGCGCATGTGTGCAAGTTTTCAAGGAAAAGTTCAGACTACTTGCAGATTTGTTCATGTGAAAACCACAACTCAATTGTCATCAACAGATTAAATAAATGTCTTGGTTAGATCTATCAAACAAATTCTACAGGCCCTGCTTGCATTAAGATGTATTAAGATCCATTTCGGGTGTTCCAAATGCGATTTACACCTGGTATTAATACGCCTATCAAATGGACATACAGATAAGGTGCTGATAAAATTTGCAGACAAAAAAGGTCCAGTGTCTATTGTCAATAGTGTATTGATATAAGAAGCACAGCTCACAGAAGTCACTTTCAAACAAATAGCTTTCTGTGAATCCATATGAATAAAATCTGAGTGGAGAAATCTTTTACCCCAAACATAAAATTCCCAATTGCTTGGATCCCTTTTGAACCAAGTTGGTTAGACCAATGGTAAAATGTAACCACACGTGATTTGATCACATGCATATAATATGACAAAATATACTGGACCACTTGTACACCTGAATTTAGCACACTTGTGAACAGATGGCCTACCAAATTAGATTCTGGAACTTTTAAGAACCTATTCATTAAAATGTCTATACACAGAAAGTCTAACGTTGTTTTTAGGGATGCACCGATATGAAAATTTTGGCCGATAACCGATTATTCTTTATTTTTGAAAGCCGATAACCGATATGTTGGCCGATAAATCTATATCCAAATTGTTATATACTTTTTGAGAGCCTGATTACAAAAAAGGTCTCATCATTAAAAGCCACATCCCAAACACTTCAACATAAGCAGCCTAGTTTGAACGGTGTACGTTTTAAAAATATTTTTACTCTCCCATTACCAAATTTAGTCATAAAAAAGTCTTACAAATAAATAAAATTATGCATAAATAATGCAAACAAGTCACTGGACATCATTACACGTGTAAAGAATCAAAATGAATGCGCCACAGATCAATAAAATGGAATAGCCTCTGCACGGACAATAATTAAATGATTTTAATTACTAAACCATATTGTTGATGAAAATAATAAGAGAACAATACAAGTGGTTGTTGTTATTAATAATATATCAATGATTTTGAAAAAGTAACAAATTAATACCACTGTTTTAAATAGCAGCCGTTGAGCTGTGCGTGCTGAAGCTGAAGAGCTGAATGAACACGGTACACTGAAGCGTTTTGCTGGCAGCTTATTTAACTCAAGGAAATGCATCCTGAGATTAATATTAATACAACATAAACATAATATTACAACTTATATATGTACAAAATGATGCAGTTATTGCGTGCTATAGTCAGAATGTGTGATCCTGTTGTGGATGCGCTCTTCCCATAACAACGCGCTGAAACACGGCAACTAAACCCAAAGAATTCACAACGTTTTATTATAATAATGTTCTCATTAGAATGTTATATACACGACATTCCCAATCATAGTTATTAATGTAGTGCACTGCTGTTTGAGCTGCGTGTGCTGAGCTAAAGATGATCACCGGTAAACTGAAGCGCTCTTTTAACTTAACCAAACGCATTCTATATGAGATAAATCAGATATACATCAAATAAACACAATATTACAATGTACAATTGCACAAAAGGCTGCAAACGAACAGCGCGCATCTGAAGTGTCTCTGAAGGAAATAATGCATTATTTATCGGCTTTAAGATATCGGCCAAATTTTCTTATCAGGCCGATACCGATAACAGAAAAAATGAGCCGATATGGGCCGATACCGATATGGTGGCCGATATATCGTGCATCCCTATTTACAGTATTACAAAATATTTATATTTCAAACAAATGCTGTTCTTTTGAACTTTCTGTTCTTCAAAGCATTCTGAAAATAAGCATTGTTTCCACAAAAATATTAAGCAGTACAACTGTTTTCAACATAATTATGTTTCTTGACCAAATTTGAATATTAGATATAGCATCTGCATATTATGATTTCTGAATGGATCATGCTGAAAACTCTAGATTTGCTTTTACTGTACCTACACTAAAAAATGCTGGGTTAAATACAACCCAGTGCTGGGTAAAATAGGGTCAAACTAGGACTGGACGATATGGCCAAAATTTATATCACGATATATTTCTTAATTTCAGTCGATATGATATAATTCCGATATCGATATGAACACTATTAAAAAAGCCTCATAAAAATGGCCAAGA